GAGCGCTTCAAGTGGAGATGGTGCCGCAGGCGCCGAGGACGATGTTGATGTGTCAAGATGCTCGGACCACGACGAGTGTAGATGAGGATATCATCAAGAAAACGAGCACAAACCTCCGGAGGTAGTCGCTGGCACATCGTTCATCGGGGCTGGAAGGTGGCGGGGCATTAGAAAGCCCGAAAGGCATCACCGTAAACTCGAAGTGGCTGTGGTGAGTGCGGAACGCCGTCTTGGCGATGTCGCGGGATGCATCCGCACCTGATGATACCCCGAGCGTAGGTCCAGCTTTGTGAAAAAGCGAGCTCCATGGAGCTCATCGAGGAGCTCATCGACCACCGGAATCGGAAACTTGTCCTTGGACGTCTTGGCGTTGAGGGCGCGGTAGTCAATGCGAAGCGCCACGACGGTCCGTCGCTTGCGCGCACCAGCAAGACGGGCGCCGAGAAAGGCGAAGGGTCGGGCGGATGATCCTTGGGTGAGCATGGCGCGCCGCCGCCGCTCCGGCCGTCCTTCTTCAGAGCTGGGGATAGCGGTAAGGGCGCACCGCCACCGGCGCGGTACCCGGTAGCAAGTGGATGCGGTGGTCGTATGCTCGCGCCGGTGGAAGGCCCGTCGGTTCGGTGAAGACGACGGCGGTCGCCGGAGGAGGACGCCCAGCGGGGCCGCAGTGGTCGGAGGCATGTTGTACAAGCAAATTGTGCCGAGGGGGTTGGAGAGGGTGCAACCTCCCCGGCCACTCCTGCCGCCAGTGACGCGGCCGTCGCGCCAAAATGATGTGGTGAGGGCCTCATGCCCCATAGTATGGGGCCCAAGGTGCGGATGAAGTCGAAGCCGAGGATGAAGTCAAATCCGCCCAAGTTGAGGCCGACACACGTGATGGCGAAGTCCTCGTCGTAGATGCGAATGGGCACGTTGCGCGTGATGCCCTCACAAGGCATGCGGTCGCCATTGGCCACCGTGATCCGCAGCGCTCCCGCCCCGCAGAACGAGCCCGGTCGGCGCATGGTCTCCCCCCCGACACGGTTATGGGTGGAGCCCGTGTCGAGGAGGGCGAGAAGCGTTCGCCCTGATGATGACGACGGGCAAAGAAGCATGGAGTTGGCGGCCCGAATCCCTGCAATGACGGAGGGAGACCACGAGGCGTTAGTGGCGCAGCCATCTCTCGGGCCGCCTAACTCATTCGGCTGGAAGGGTGTCTCGGTTGCCTCCACGGGAGTCTCCACGATGTAGTCGTCGACCTCCGAGTAGAAGAGGCGCTTGCACACTGCGTGCTGCACGTAAGGCTCGTCACGCTTGAAGCACACCGGCCCTGGCGGGCGCTCTCATTGTTCGCCGGAGAGAGCCGACAAAAAGTGGGCGCTACTGGCCAGGGTCGGTGTAGTAGCGGCGGTTTGAGGTGGAAGACCAGCGCTTCGGCGTTCGGCTGCTGCCGGAGGCGGAGTTGACCGCAGGGCGGCCGGGCGCCCGAGGTCATGGAAAGGTGGAGATACGCAATCCTCGAACGCCTGTGCAGTACATGGCGGTTTGGAGGTCGGGCGGTGCGCGAGCTGAACTCGCTATGAGCTGGTCCGCAGCCCGCCAACGCATAACTCCGCCTTTTGGCGAAGCGGAGAGGTTATGCGTGGCACAGGATGGCATTGTAGCGCCCGAGTAATCCTACACGGAAGAACCAAAAGGAAGGCGGGGCAAGCTCCGCCAACCGTGTGCCTGCAGCAGAGGCCCCGGCGGAGCGAACATAACTCGTGGAAGCGCCCCAAGGGGGCATGCCTCGCCCCGCCTGTATGTAGTACCATGTCTGGGCAGCACCCCGAAGATGGTAGGACGTGAGCCATGTGCGCGCGGATGCGAGCGTCTGCTGACCGCGGAAGAACTGCTCGCACTGGTTCAACCAATTCAGGGGGTCTGCCGAGCCGTCGTACGTAGGAAACTCCAATTTATAGAATTTGGGCCCCGCCTGAGCGCTCGCGAGGGCAGCACCAAGGCCCGGGTCAAAGCCCCTCTGCTGCTGGCCGCCCGAGGAAGAGGGCGCCCCGAAGAACAGCGAACCATCCACCCCCCCAGAGAGAGGACCGCCGGCAGAAGGCAGGGTGGGAACCGCTGTTGTCGCGATCAGCGTGGAGGTTGATGGGGTTGTCGACGTGGCCATCGAGTAGAGCGGAGCAGACGCCGTCACGGGCGGCTGCAGCCAATCAGGCAGCGGTGACGGCGAGGCCGGCCATTGCAACAGATGGAGCGGAACTCCGGCCCCCGTCGACGGCATGCCGTAGGGGTAGGAAGTCGCTGGCGCAGTCGGGATCGGTGCCGTGGGCACCGGCGGCTGAGGCAGTGGTGGTGCGGGAAACGGCGGCGGTGGAGGCGCCTGGAGCAGGACGGCCCACGCCGTCTGCATGGAGACCACCGCGTTGGCGATCAGATCAACCTTGGCCCCCAGCGACTCCAACGTCAGGGGCTGGGCAGAGGCGGGGACGCCTCCGACAACTCCGACGACGCAGCGGTCGGCGGCGAAGTGGTCACCGGGATGGAGGAACTCGGAGGAGCAGTCGTCATCGAACCAGGCGCGAGATGGCTGGACGTGGGCGAGGACGGCGCGAGGGCGCCGTGGCTGCAACTGCCGAGAGAGAGAAAGAGGAGGCGGCTAGGGTTTCACCCGGCTAGGGTTTCTCCCGGCTCCCTGAAGAAGCCGGAAACAATAGTATGTTTCTACTTAATCTCCCAAATAGAGTCTTACAAATATTTATAGGTCTCTCTAATAGCGATAATTATAAAATAACCCTCTAGCAACACTATAATTGCGACAATTATATGGGCCATAACCCTTTGATGGCCGGCTTCCCTCCTAGCCCTTAGCTGGGCTGCGACGGCTGTAGGGGATGCCGGTCATAACAGCTCTCCCCGCCTGCAAAAACAGCTCGTCCTCGAGCTGGAAATCGGGGTGCTCGGCGCGGAACTCCGGCGCGAACCTTGCTTTGACACCTAAGTTCCTAGTTTCTTTTTTTACTTGGTTTATTTGGCACATTTCTCTCTTTTCTTCAGTGCTCTGATTTCTTATTCCAAACCAAGCAAAGAAATTTCGTTTGTATCTTGTTTCCACTGACACTGAGTTCTGCTTCCACTGTATCTTGTCAGTTTCACTAGTTTTCAGCTGTGTTTCAGTGCTACCTTTATTCATTTGCACTAGTTCTGAACTTGTTGGCTGTGTGCTGGAAAGCCTGGAAGGCTGAACCCATTATTAATGTCAATTGAATAAGTTGTAGAAAACGCTTTGTAATTTCTGGGCTTCCGCTGTCCCTACTTAATGCAAAATGTGGAGGTGCTCGCTTAGGAGATTGCCTTTGTGCTTTTGTTTACTGTGCTATGCAAGAGAAATATGAAGCAGAAACCCAAATGTGTATAGATACTGGCTTCACTTGGTCTATTATAATTTTTCTGCTTATGGATTACATAAACAAGTGAAACAAACGTCAGAAAACAGATTTGAAAAGAAATTGCTATTGAATTTTTAAGTCACTTCGTACTACAATTTTTTATTTTTGGTTGATGAGGGATTGAATCAAATCACATGGCCCAGTGGCCAGCCCAGAGGCCAGAGGTGTCTAGCCCAGCCCAGCCCAGCCCAGGCAAATCCTCCATTAATTAAGAGAATAGGTAGCCCAACACGGAAGCTTCAAGTTCCAGTAGAGTTCAGAAAAGTAGAGTTCAGAGGTACCTCACCTCTGAACTGCCGGAGGAGGCCCTCGCCGACGCCGCACCACCTGCCTCCGCTCACGGTCCGCCGGTCAGTCATATACGCCCATTGGCTCACATGCCCTCTCCCCCTCTGCCTCTGCCTCAATTTTTTGTGCGGATCCCCTAAATCCCTAACCCTAATGCAAGAACGCTTGCATTGGGGTTTTAAGCATTGGTTGATTCTTTCCAAGTATCGATTGAAATCTTGAATGGACTATTTAAATCTTGGTATTCAGTGTTTATTTCATCCCTTATGGTTCTTGACGACATCTTATGGTGATGGTTGTAGTTGATATTTTGTTGATCAAAATACATTTGATGTGGATTGAAAAGATGGATAAAATTGTTTTTTTAGAGGTATCCATTAAAACGTTGGTGCCAAGCTGATAGGGCTAGGATCCCTACCGGAGCGGCTACGCAAGTTGTACGGATGCGAGATGGCTGGACGTGGGCGAGGACGGCGCGAGGGCGCCGTGGCTGCAACTGCCGAGAGAGAGAAAGAGGAGGCGGCTAGGGTTTCACCCGGCTAGGGTTTCTCCCGGCTCCCTGAAGAAGCCGGAAACAATAGTATGTTTCTGCTTAATCTCCCAAATAGAGTCTTACAAATATTTATAGGTCTCTCTAATAGCGATAATTATAAAATAACCCTCTAGCAACACTATAATTGCGACAATTATATGGGCCATAACCCTTTGATGGCCGGCTTCCCTCCTAGCCCTTAGCTGGGCTGCGACGGCTGTAGGGGATGCCGGTCATAACACAAGCATCATTTTCTTTGGCTGACCGGATCTGAAATGGCTACTGTATCCCAATAGTGTTATAGCTTAGATTTTTATCCGTTAAATTGTTGTAAAACAATGTTTTAGTTATTTTTCTGTAATAGTAGACTAATAGGATAACAATGATGAAAAATCGTGTTACCAGAGGGATATTACAGATCGGAGGGATATTACTCAGAAGACTTTGTTGTTTGTACTGCAAGAAGGCTGGACATCCGTGTGCATTACTGCAGTATCGTAGCAAAACCAGCATTATCCATTAATCCAACCATGAACCATAACACACTTGCTTGTTTTGCGACCAGTATTGTTTTTGCATGTTCTGTTCAGCTGCATTCTTGTGCTTAGGGTTGACATTTTAAGAAACCATATGCGATAGCCATTTTTCCTATAAAGTACCAACTTTATTCTCTTCACTCTATCAAGTCCAATCTGCTAATGTGTTTGCTTTGGTTTACAATTTGACACAGAGAAGCTGCTTTTCGCCTCCAAGTTATGTCCAAGCTTCGAGATTGGGCAGGCCTCCCAGATGGCCTGCTGCACTCCATTGTTGAATTGTTGGGGTCCTTCCCTGACCTTCTTGCCTTTGCAGCCACCTGCCACCCCTGGCGCTCTGCCTTCTCATCTTACCCATCTCTTCTCCTCGACCCTAATGTCTCTTTCTGCTCCTCTCGCCATTTTCCAAATGCCAGAAACACCTCTGTACCCAAACGCCCATGTTACGTCATTGACCTAGCTAGCCAAGATACAATACTTTGCTCTCAGATTCCTCTGCTTTCTGTTGATTATGGAAATAATCGCCCACCAAGTGCTTTGCATAAGTTTGCTTTTAGGGGTGCTTCCTTTGGCCATATGATCTTCTCCAGCAACAAAATATGTTTTCTTTTTGATGTGTTCACTGGTATTGAGGTTTCACCTCCACTACTGCCAGCTGATGAATATAGTGAGATCCGCTGTGGTGCTACCCTCACAGGTCCTCTAGCATCTCCCAACTCACATCTCATTGTCTGCACTTTGTCCTTCAACTTCTTTTGGCGTGTTGGTAGTGACTCTTGGTCAAAATGCTCTCCTCGCAATGGATCACTCACCGAGTTTGTAGTCTTCAAAGGCCAGGTCTTTGGCATGGGTTCTGATCGTAGTTTGTTCATGGTTCACTTGTCTCCTCAGATCCATTTACAGGAGATACCAGTTTCCTGGGGTGTAAGAAATAGCATGACCAAATGGCATCTTTGCGACCCTTGGCTAGTGGTGTGCGACGACATGCTTCTCATGGTTGGCTGCCAGAGTGAATTCCCAGGAATAACATGGTATGTATTTGAAGCTTACCGTATTGACACTTCGACTGACCCTGCAAAGTGGGTGAAGGTGGAGAGGTTGGAGAACTGGGCGATATTCATCAGCAGTGACCGGAGAGTTCAGCCACTTTCATGCCTGAATCCAGAGAGGTGGGGAGGGAGGAGCAACTGTGTATACTGCTATGATTATGAATTTGGCCATTTGGTTGCATTTGAGTTGGGCAAGCCACTGCCTGAAGATGATGCCACCAGGTCTGATGTCTTTATTTTCACATGTGTTGGTAGCATGGTGCAACCTATATGGATTGTCCCCAGTATGCTCTCTTTGTGTTGTGATGGTCAGTGATGTCTGCTGTAAGAATTTGCCACTGGCTTTCTTAGAGATCTATTTGTAACTGTTGGAACCTCGGTATGCCTAATTATGTAACTGGAGTATGACGACTTTAAGCTTTGTTAACCCACTATGTTCTCTTTGTGCTGTGATGATCAATGATTTCTGCTGTAAGGATTTGCCACTGGTTTTCTTAAGAGGTCTATCTGTAACTGTTGAAACCTGGGTATGTCTACTTATGTAACTGGAGTATGACGACTTTATCCATTGTATAGCATTCATCACATTTTTCATGTTCTGGGCCACCTTAATGCTTGTGCATTTTTTATGAACTATAAGTACTTGGAGCACTGGTATTTCGGTGCTGCAGCTGGGTGACTAAGCACTTGCTTGTTCGGCACTCGTGTGGAAGCTGAGCCAGCTTTAAGTTTCAAGTTCCCAAGGTTTGAACTCTGTTTTGATTTGGAAAAAAAAATGGATAGTCGACATAAGTCATGTAAATAAATAACAATAGCCGATTTTTGTTTAGAAATTCTGAAATATCAATAAGACAAGTTGCTATTGGGCCAGGTCTAAGTTTCATTTAAGCCTGCTACGGCCCTGGTTCATAAAGCACAGTGGCCCTTTATTTTGTGAAGCAGCAAAGCAGAAAGGATTTGATATTAAGCTGATCTGTCAACCACCGAATTCACCAGACTTTAACGTACTTGATTTGGATTTATTTGCATCAATTCAGTCCGTTCAATATAAGAAGGGTTAATTCTATGACATTAGCTGAACTAGTCGCCGTGGTTCAGGAGTTTGAAGATTATACCAACACTGTCTGTCAAATTGGATATTCACATCATTGCAGCTCGCCATGATAGAGGCAATGAAAGTAGGAGGGAACAAGTACAAGATGCCCCATGTTAACAAACCTGTGCCTGTGTTGGAAAAAGAAAACAAGCTTCCAATGCAAATGAAGTGTGATCTGAATTTGGTACGGGAGGTATGCAGGCAGCTCAATGAGAATGGGATGAGACTGGGTTGCTTCTTGTCGGGTATCGATAGTAGGGATACCCAAAGCAAGGGAGTTAGCGCCTACGCTGACTTTCCCGGACAGAGCAAGACGTATTAACATGTCTCGCCCGACCCCTTGGGTCCGGGCTCCGTCTCGCCTGACCCCAAGGACGCAGTTTCCGTCTCGCCCGACCTCGAGGCTGCTGGCTCCGTCTCGCCCGACCCCGAGGCCGCAGTTTCCGTCTCGCCTGACCCCGAGGCCGCGGGGGTCTCACCCAAGGTCGTGGGCTCCGTCTCGCCCGACCCTGAAGGGTCACGGGCTCCGTCTCGCCTAACGGGGACCCATATCGCCGCCAACCACTCCAGGTCCAGGCGTATGGGCCTGTGTCAAAACTCTGACACCAGGGAAGAGACAGGCATGACTCAATGTAACCTGAGGCCATGACGGGCCATACTTGAGGATTCACATCAAGAACAGCGTCGGGCGTACCGGTGCTGTTCTGCCTAACCCTCGTACGAATGCTGACAGACGCGTCAGTTCACCATGACGTCCGCTGGGACAGGATGGAATGCCATGACCGGCAGATGACGCCTGCGCATGGCGCCAGTGACGGACAGGGCCGCAACGTGGAGCCATCCCTGTTGACATCTACAGGATCGGCGGGACCCGCATGAAGGAGAAGAAGGACCCAACGATTCTGGAAACCTTCTTCTCTCTATCATTCTTCTCCTTTTTCTCCGCTGTAACCCGCATTTTCCCTTTGCCTATAAAAGGGGAAGCAGGGCGCCCCATGAAGGGGGCCAGATCTGCGCAAGAGCACGACACGAGCACACGGCTGAGCAACGATCAAGCTCTCAACACCTGTTCACTCCTTTCACCAGAGACTTGTGATCATTTTCCTCTCTCGCCCGTTTGTAACCCCTACTGCAAACCAAGTGCCGGTAACACGAGCAGCAGCAAACTAGATATAGGGACATTCCGCCCGAACTAGTATAAACCCTTGTGTCCTCCAAGCACACCATCCGAGCCAGACGCGCAAATACAAATTTACTCGTCGGTGGTCCGAAAACACCGACAGTTGCGCGCGCCAAGTAGGGTCTTTTTGCGCGTCTCGACGTCCACATCAGGCCTCGGATGTCTAGTCACGGCATCAGCTGGGTCCTGGACGCGCACGTGCGCTTCGAGAACCTGGACTTCATCGTCACGACAGAGGGAAAGTTAACGCAGGCTCTCGTCGCCATCCAACCTCTCCACTCCGCCAGCCTCGACGCGATCGCTGAGGCGCTCGAGGAGCTGCGGCTGCACACACTAGAGGCCCGCGCCCCTGGGAGCGACCAGCTCCTCGGCTTCGATTATAGGAGGCTAGAGCGCTAGCTCGGTGCCTTCCTAGGACCCCGACCGTCCCGGGAGGACCTGGGCCGCCTCACCTTCTCCTTCGCCAATGTCATAACGCAGCTAGCTAGAGGAGAGCCGCTCTCTCTGGATTACCTCATCCAGAGCGCCCCGACAGCGCTCCCGTCCGGTCTCTGCAACACCGCAAAGACCGTTGGCCACCTTGTGGTGCAACGCACGCCTCCATCCCCCACGAACGACGAGTTCGTGGGGATGACCGAATATGTCATGGAATCTTTCCACGACCTCCTCGCGGGAGAATCGGGGTCGCCCTCCGACTCTGACTCCAGCAGGGGGAGCCATCACCCTTCTCAAAAATGTTTCATGGCACATACCCCCAAGGAATACGTCGAAAGCATCCACGAGGGAGAGGCTACCCCAATGAATGACCTCGACGACGAGGTCAAGGCGGATGTAGGGGCCCCACATCGCCTACAGGTAGAGCAGCTAAAGGCCCGTGAAAGGTCGTAATATGGCTAGAGGGGGGGTGAATAGCCTATTTAAAAATCTACAAATCAACTAGAGCAATTTGATTAGTATGACAAATAGCGAAATGCAAACTTGCTCTAGCTCTACAAGGGTTGCAAGCCACCTATCCAACAATTCTAGTTGCAATGACTACTAGACACACAACTTGCTATGATATTACTCACTAAGAGCTCTCAATCTTGCTATGCTAAAGAGCTCCACTAGATGAACTTAAATAACAAATCAAGCTCTCAATTCTAATTACACTAAAGAGCTTGCCACAACTAGTTTGCAAGAATATAAAAGAGTGAGTAGGGTGATTATACCACCGTGTAGAGGGATGAACCAATCACAAGATGAATATGAAATCAATCACCGGAAGAATACCAAATGGCAAGAGACAACCAATTTTCTCCCGAGGTTCACGTGCTTGCCAACACGCTACGTCCCCGTTGTGTCGACCAACACTTGGTGGTTCGACGGCTAAGAGGTGTTGCACAAACCTCGTCCACACGATTGGACACCGCAAGAACCTACCCACAAGTGAGGTAACTCAATGACACAAGCAATCCACTAGAGTTACCTTTCGGCGCTCCGCCGGAGAAGGTACAAATCCCCTCAAAATCACCGGAGATGGCCACGAACAATCACCAACTCGTGCCAATCCTTCACCGCTGCACCAAGCCGTCTAGGTGGTGGCAACCACCAAGAGCAACAAGCGAAATCCACAGCAAAACACGAATACCAAGTGCCTCTAGATGCAATCACTCAAGCAATGCACTTGGATTCTCTCCCAATCTCACAAAGATGATGAATCAATGATGGAGATGAGTGGGAGGGCTTTGGCTAAACTCACAAGGTTGCTATGTCAAAGCAAATGACCAAGAGAGTGAGCTTGAGCCGGCCATGGGGCTTAAATAGAAGCCCCCACGAAATAGAGCCGTTGGGCTCCTCACTGCACTGAACACGGGCTGATCGGACGCTCCGGTCATATTGACCGGACGCTGGACCCCAGCGTCCGGTCGCCCGATGCATGCCATGTGTCATCGGCTTCAAATGATGATCGCCCGATCTCAATGGTCAAGTGAAGACCAGACGCGTCAGTTAGAAAGTGACCGGACACTGGACTTCAGCGTCCGGTCGTTTCTAGTAAGGTTCCAAACGCGATTTTTTCCGACCGGACGCGTCCGGTCATGCTTGACCGGACGCAGCTAGCGTCTAGTCACACAACGTCTCCTCTATACGCCATACGTCAGCGTATGTCAGCATTGATCGAACGCACCCAGCCAGCGTCCGATCGTAGAGCGACCCAGTGTCCGGTCATTTGACCGACGCCAGCGTCTTCGCTGTTACACCTGACTGGACACTGGCCTCGGTTGGGCGGACACTCCACCGGTGGAGTTTCTTACCCTTGCACCCAAATTTCACCATCCTTGATCAAATGTGCCAACCACCAAGTGTATCACCTTGTGCACATGTGTTAGCATATTTTCACAAATCATTTTCAAGGGTGTTAGCATTCCACTAGATCCTAAATGCATATGCAATGAGTTAGAGCATCTAGTGGCACTTTGATAACCGCATTACGATACGAGTTTCACCCCTCTTAATAGTACGTCTATCGATCCTAAATGTGATCACACTCACTAAGTGTCTCGATCACTAAAACAAAATGGCTCCTACTATTTATACCTTTGCCTTGAGCCTTTTGTTTTTCTCTTTCTTCTTTTCCATGTTCAAGCATTTGATCATCACCATGCCATCACCATCATCATAATCTTCGCCATTGCTTCATCACTTGGAGTAGTGCTACCTATCTCATAATCACTTTGATAAACTAGGTTAGCACTTAGGGTTTCATCAATTAACCAAAACCAAATTAGATCTTTCAATCTCCCCCTTTTTGGTAATTGATGACAACCCTTTCACAAAGATATGAATTGTAATTTTATTGAATCCATGTTGCTTGCCCAAGCATATTTACCATGTGTAAAAGAATATGGACAAGTTTCATGAATCCCATATGGTAGCAATTGCTCCCCCTACATATGTGCTAAGAGTTTGGATTGTAGCTTGCACATATGCTCAGATAGGAAATATAGGAGACAATTTCTATCAAATGATGCTAAGGTATAAGAGATGGACCTTTGAAGCA